CATCAGCAGCCCAGATGGGTTTTCCTCCACGCTTCCAATTAATCTTTTTCCACCGATCCAGCCAGCCCCACAGAGCATTGGCTATCATCCATGAGTCAGTGTAGAGGTAAAGCCTTGGCCATTTCTCTTGTTCAGCAATATCCAGGGCAAATTGAATGGCTTTAAGTTCTGCAAATTGACTCGATTCACCTTCTCCTTCAGTAGCTTCTGCCACTTGTCAGGTGGGACTCCAGACAGCTGCTTTCCACTTTTGGTTCTTCCCTACAATATGACAAGAACCATCAGTGAAGAGGGCATAACGTGTTTCTTCTTCGGATAACTGATTGTATGGTGGAGTTTCTTCAGCCCGATTCACTTGTTCTTTTTCCTCCTCATCGGCCAGACTGAAGTTTCCACCTTCAGGCCAATTTGTTATGATTTCTAGGATTCCAGGACAATTCAAGTTTCCAATTTGGGCACGCTGTGTAATCAAAGCAATCCACTTGCTCCATGTAGCATCAGTGGTATGATGGGTAGGGGGCACCTTTCCTTTGAACATCCAGCTCAGCACTGGTAGTCGGGGTGCCAGGAAGAGCTGTGTTTCTGTGCCAGTCACCTCTGAGGTTGCTTGTATTCCTTCATAAGTCGCTAGGATTTCCTTCTCCATGGGGGTGTAGTTGGCTTCAGATCCTCTGTAGCTTCGGCTCCAGAAACTGAGTGGTCGGCCTTGGGTCTCACCGGGCACTTTTTGCCAAAGGCTCCAGGAGGGACCATTATCCCCAGCTGCAGAATAAAGCACATTTTTCACATTTGGTTCTGTCCTGACTGGTTCAAGTGCCACGGCGCGTGCAATCTCCTGTTTAATCTGTTTAAAGGCTTGCTATTGTTCAGGACTCCACTGGAAATCATTCTTCTTATGGGTCACTAAATAAAGAGGGCTCATGATTTGACTGTATTCAGGAATGTGCATTCTCCAAAAACCTATGGCCCCCAGGAACGTTTGTGTTTCCTTCTTGTTAGTTGGTGGAGTCATCGCTATGATCTTGTTGATGACTTCTGTTGGAATCTGACGACGTCCATCTTGCCATTTCACCCCTAGAAATTGTATCTCTTTGGCAGGTCCTTTGACTTTGTTCATTTTGATGGTGAAACTGGCTTTGAGGAGAATCTGGATGATTTCTTTTCCTTTTTCAAAAACTTCCTCTGCTGTGTCCCCCCATACAATAATGTCATCAATATATTGTATGTGTTCTGGAGCCTTACCCTTCTCTAGTGTAGTCTGAATCAGTCCATGGCAAATGGTGGGACTGTGTTTCCACCCCGGGGCAGTCGGTTCCAGGTGTACTGCACGCCCCTCCACGTGAAAGCAAACTGCGGCCTGCACTCTGCTGCTAAGGGGATGGAGAAGAACGCATTGGCAATATCAATGGTAGTGTACCACTTCCAGTTCGTACTGGAGCTCCAACATGTCTGGTACAGCAGCATTTAACGGTGGGGTGACTTCATTTAAGCCACAGTAGTCCACAGTCAGTCTCCATCCTCCATCAGATTTACGTACAGGCCAGATGGGGCTATTGAAAGGTGAGTGAGTCTTACTGACCACCCCTTGGCTCTCCAGCTCTCGCATCATTTTATGGATGGGGATCACAGCATCTCGGTTTGTTCGGTACTGTCTTCTATGCACTACTGTAGTGGCCGTTGGCACTTGTTGATCTTCGACTCGCAGTATTCCCACAACGGAGGGATCTTCTGAGAGGCCAGGCAGGGTAGATAATTGTCTAAATTTCTCTGTAGCCACTGTGGCTACACCAAAAGCCCATCGATACCCCTTTGGGTCTTTGAAATATCCTCTCCTGAGGTAGTTGATGCCAAGGATGCAAGGGGCCTCTGGACCAGTCACAGTGGGGTGCTTTTCCTATTTGTCTTCCATTAAACTCACTTCAACCTCTAGCACTGATAATTCTTGATGTCCCCCTGATACTCCAGAAATCCAAATGGGCTTGGTGCTTTTATGCCCTGATGGCATCAAGGTGCATTGTGCGCCAGTGTCTACTAAAGCTTTGTGTCTCTGCGGATCTGATGTGCCAGGCCATCGAACTCACACAGTCCAGTAAACCCTATCGTCCCTTTCCTTCTCCTGGCCGAAGGCAGGGCCTCTCTATTGTTCTTGGTCAGCGTATTCACTGTCTGATCCTTGCATTGCCCAGCTAGAGGTCCCCTCACCAGGATCACAAGAATTGTCCTCGGTTTTTCTGCATTGCAAAGGTCGCTGATCTCTTTCTGGGGCCTCTGCATCAACTACATGGATGGCCTTCTTACTAGGTTTTTCCCTCTTAATTCTCATACCCAGGCTTCAAGTTTATAGGTAGGTTCACCATCCCACTTCTTCATGTCTTCCCCTTGGTCACGCAGAAAGAACCATAGCTCACCGCATGGCCTGCTCCTGGGGTTTTCTTTCCTCCTGAGTGGGGCAGGAGGAGACTGAGACTGACCGCTTTCTTAGGCTGTTTCTGCGGCAGTTCTCACATTTGGGGCATTTGTAAGGCCTCTCCATCCTCTCCCTAGTGTGGGTGCGTTGGTGTCGAAGATCAGAGCTTTCTCTGAAATCTAACTTGCTAGCCCGGGAGAATGAGGAGGCTTCCACACCTTCTGCTATACTCTGTATCCAGGCAAACATCGTATCCACACTTGGTTCAGTCATCCTTGGATGATATAGTGTTATCAGACAGTTAACATATGATGCAGAGGCACCTTGAATTACTTTTCTCCACATGGGCAGTGTGCAAGGAACACGCTCTGGATTTTGGTAGTGGGGGTTGCCTGGGTCACCGTAAATCATTTCCAGCATGGCCAATTCCCGCAGGTACTGGATGCCTTCCTCTGCAGTAGTCCATCTTCTTGTAGAGCTCATTAGATCTTCTTTAAATGGGTACCTGTCTCTCACAGCAAAGAGGATCCAGGTCCAAAGACTGCTAATAAATCTCTCTTTTCCAATTTCCTGTTCAATTTCACAATCTCGGGCAATAGATCCTAGTTGGCGTGCTTCATGACCTTCTAACAGGTGACTACCAGCCCCGTCATCCCAGCATCGGAGCATCCAGGTAAGAATTCGTTCACCAGGCTGCCGGTTGTAATCTCTCCGCAGTTCCCGAAGTTCTGATGGGGTCATGGGCTGAGTAACTTCGCTCTTCTGTCTAGTTTCCTCTCTGCTTCTCTCACGTGGAAGTGGAGGTGGAAGCACCCTCGCTCTCTCTAATGAATCACCAGCTATTTGTCTTGCCTCCCTTTCTTCTCTCGGAGGCTCAGGAAGGGTAGATCCTTCTCCTTCTTCCTCCCTTACTAATCACGGAGGTAGGCCTGTAGGTCCTGCAGAGCTCCTTATCCATGTCTTTCTTTTCACTACAGGGGCAATAGTGACTTCAGATGTCGTGGTTTGGGTCCCTGTCTCAGTCATAGTCTTTTTAGAGTATTGAACAGCAGCTCAATAAGCACAGGCCAGGCCCCAGTACAGGGTGAGAAGTTGCTGGTTTTGATCAGGGTAGGCAAGGCAGCCTTCCATCAAATGACGTGTCAGTTTGTTGGGGTTGAATACTTGTTCTGGTGTGAAGTCCCAGGCAACAGGGGGTGTTAGATGCCCTAAGAACCTTCCTAAATTCATCCACATCCCTTGCCACCCAGGAACTGGCCCCTTTAGAGAACATCCCAGTAAATTCTCTCTCGAAGTTGGTTTTGTCCTGGCACAAGGCAACAAAAACAACACTACCTTCCCCACTCCCCATAATGTTTTAAGAGCATTGGTTAAAAGCAGTAATAAAGCCAAACAACTCGGGTAAGGATTTGTAAGGATCGTGGGTGCTTTCATTACCAGGCCCTCTATGTCAAAATCAAGAAGAAAAAAAAGGTTGATTTCTTTCCCTTCTGTGTTTTTTAAGGGGTAAGTTCCACACCCTATCAAAACTGTTAGTAAAATTACAGGTATCCCCACAAGAACTGGGCGAATTGCCATGTTTTTGTTATATGTTCTCGACTTAGTGTAAACAAACAGGTAAGTGAGGCAGTTATTTTATAAACAATCTCCCCTTGACAGTCTTCCTGGGTTTCCGGCACCAGGAATGTGGTGGTTTACTTAGGCTGAATGCCAGGTGTCTGCCAAGCCTGCACAGATTTCCCCCCCCCCGCAAGGGGAGGTGGAGGAAAAAAAAATGTGAAAAAAAAATCCCGGGCTTACCAAGAACAAAAGTTTATATTTACATGGAGAAAAAGAAAGGAAGAAGCTAATAACGTTACAGACACAGGCAAAGGAAACCAACAGAAAAAAAAAATTCTGCCTCCCTCACTGAACGGGGTCTCAGACAGGTGCAGCTGTCTATCCAGCTGTTCCCGGAAGGAAGAAGAAGGCCGAGTTAACTTTCCCTCCCCTTATATAGCCAGGCTGACATAACATGGCATGGAATATCCTGTTCCTCCTGGGAAAAGGAAGTTCTATTTGACTACACAAACCTATTACCTGTGCTGAATAAGTTTTCTTTACAGATGGCTCATAGGTGAAACTGTGAATGCACCATCAATGGCTGTTATACTGTTCACTTTAGTTAATATGCAAAACGAATGCTAGATTTTGAAACAAATATCAGAATTCTTTGTTTCACTATGTTAGAATATAAAGTAAGAGATAAGAATCCTGGTTGCCAATAGTCACCTGTTATGTAGCTGGCCAAGAGCTGCATATAATATCAGGTAAGAGAGTGAGGTCTGTGATAAGTGGGAGGCTGGATACTTGCAAATAAATCATAGATCAGATGTGTTTTGTGGAAGATAATATGAATCCTATGGTAATACACTTCTAAATTAAATTCACATGATGAAATATGGCCACAAGTGATGCTGGAAATCTATGAGCCTCACATTAATACTGACTAAAATTTATATCTCATATAAGAATAAATGAGATTATATACACATAGCCTTCCTGAGCAGGTCACTTGGTAATTCTAATGTGTCATTTGTTTGTTTTACTTAAGGAATCAGCTGGAGGGGATATTCAGTCTCCTTTAACGCCACAAAGTATTAATGGGACAGATGACGAGAGAGTGATGCCAGAAGTGACACAGAACTCAGAACCAAGGGCTGAACCAACCCAGAACGCATTGCCATTTACCCATAGGTACAGATTCCATTCCCACATCCTGATTAAGTGATACTTATCTCCTTCCTCATTAAAGGGACCTTTTCTCATGTCATGGCTTCCACCTAGCAAAATTAAGGATTAAATTATTTGCATTATAATCTTTGTTTTCACAAAAAAACATGAGGAAATCTCTTTGAATAACATTTTGGGGAGCATTATTTTATAATTTAATCAGCTGAATGAGAGTCCTTGAACACTGGTTAGTGCAGGTGTCCCTTTAACAGGAAGCATTATTTCAATGTTTGAGATCTTAGTAAAGTTAATTGCTTCTTAGAATATTCAAATTTATTTATTTTTGCACACATTTTCTTTAAATGAATGATAGGATTGGATGTCAGCCTTTCATCAATGAGTTGCTGGAAGAAAAAGGACTCTTACAACACTTATGGATTATAAAATTTAAAGCAGCCTTTAATTAAACAGTTCTCTGACAGTTGAAAACATTTTTCAACTTTTTTTTGAAACATGAGAGAAGTGTAATTGTGCTTCAGACTGAATTTTAATTCATTGCACTAGGAATACTGTACTCTTCTTTAAGAAAACTATGTCTTTTAATAATACAAATAATGAGTTAGGATGGATATATCTCACCAATCAGAAATGACTGTATGTGGGACACTCAATAAAACTCATTATGCACTGAGATCATGGAAAGTAACTTAAATATTTAATAAACTTAAAGCAAAGTTAGAAATACTAGATTTATTTTTTTTAAACATGGTCTGAATCAGTTTAAATAGAGTTTAAGAGCTCTTGATCAAAGGTTGGGGAACACTAGGATGTCAGATATGTCATGCAAATAATTCAGAATGAGCAGAGATGGAATTGGAATTGTTCAAGACTTCTCTTTTCTTGTAAAAGAACAATACTATTAAACATTTACATTTTCAAATGAGAAAAACCAAATACTTTTTTAGCTGAGTGATTGTGTTTACTTTTACACTTCAGTTCTCAACAGTTCTTCTATTGCATGTTTTACGAGAAATAGTGCTTTGTAAGAAAGCTCTGTGCATGTTGAAGTAGTATTACATGTCGCATATCAGTGTTCTGTAACAAGTTAATTTAAACTTACTGTTTCTGTGTTGGAATTCTCTATCAATATCTTTGTGAAAAGGAGTTGTGATAGAGTCCACACAGGACTACAGGTGTTGTTTTTTTTTAAAATGTGATCTTCCCTCTCAGTTTCCATATGTAAATATGTTTTCTGGTATGACAATATAGTAACTATGCTCTGCTATACATTGACCATGACTAAAGATATTTTTTGAAACGACCCAGTTGTAATTTTTGATGGTATAGAATAGAAGTTAGAAAATTTTTACATGCTTTGCATTTTTATATTTACTTCACGTATGCAGTGTGGTTGCCTTGTTTCAGTTTATTGTCCTGTTAAGTACCACTAGCTAGAAGTGGTCTTCCAACAATAACTCTGCATTTCAAAGGTCACTTCTCATGATGATTCTCATGGGAATCATTTATCATGCTGTGCTGGTTTCAGCTGGGGTAGAGTTAATTTTCTTCACAGTGGCTAGTACAGGGCTATGTTTTGCATTTGTGCTGAACACAGGGTTGATAACATAATGTTTTTGTTATTGCTGAGAAGGGCTTACACAGAGCCAAGGCCCTTTCTGTTTTTCATACTGCCACGCTGGCAAGGAAGTTGGGAGTGCATGGGAGGTTGGGAGGAGACACAGCTGGGACAGGTGACCCAAACTGACCAAAGGGATATTGCAGACCATATGACATCATGCTCAGTATGTAAAGTGAAGGGGAAGACATTTGGAGTGATGATGTTTGTGTTCCCAAGTAACCATTATGCATGATGGGGCCCTGCTCTCCTGGAGATTGCTGAACACCTGCCTGCCCATGGGAAGCAGTGAATTAATTCCTTGTTTTTCTTTGCTTCTGTGCAGGGCTTTTGCTTTCCGTATTAAACTGTCTTGATCTCAACCCATGAGTTTTCCAGCTTTTACCCTTTCAGTTCTCTCCCCAATCCCACTGGTGGGGGAGTGGGCAAGTGGTTGCATGGGCCTTGATTGCTGGCTGGGGTTAAACCTGTCTTGGTTTGAGACAATTTGGAGCGGCGGAGACCTCAGACAGAAGTCCTCTCCCTTGGATTCAATACCTCTGGTTTCTCCAATACAGAGAGAGAGACCAAATATGCCCAGATGTAAGTGAAAAAACCCCTCTTTACCAAGAAGAATGCTAATAACAATACTGATAAAACTGGGTTAAACCAACTGATGAGCAGAAACTTCCCAAGCCCCACTCATCGGACCATATTGAGATGACAGCTGGCCTCCCTCACACGGAAAAAAACCACACATGGCCATGTGGTTCACCTCCCCCGTGCCTGGAAAACCTGGCAGGAACAGTTGGAGAGTCAGCACTGGAGTGAGGTTTCAGTGCTGGTACAGGCAGTCAGAGCAGGGCTGCAGACACCCCAGGCCACTGGAAGGACCCGCAAGACACCCATTGGATCCAGCAATTTCAATGTTCATTCATTGAAGTGGTTGTAGTCCTGTCAAGGTGGTGGTGAAAGCCCCCAGGAAAGGAAAGTCCTGTGTGCTGAGGGAAGAAAATCCCGTATTAAGTGGAGTCTGAATGGGGTCTTTTATTGGGTTTAGGGTAGGTGGGAATACCCTTAAGTACCTCCCCTGGGGCAGGGAGTTCTACACTGGATGATGTAATACTGAATCATGGGACATTTCAGGAGTCTTTTGACACCTTCTAAGATGTTACAGCTGCCTGTTATGTCAGCACAGGTGGATCCATTATGGCTCATCAGAAGAGATGAATATCTTCAGGCTATGTGTGAATTGTCCCAATGCTTCCCTGGAGGGGAGTTATCACAGCTGAGTCATTTTTGTAAGGACAAAGAAACAACACCCAGCTTGTAGCCTGAGGTGGCCAGTGTCCATGCCCTCAGGACCTCGGTGGTTACTTTGCACATGGTCAGCTTGCACCTGGGTTGTCTGAGTCATCAGCATTCCAGTCTTTCACATTAGTGGATTCTCCCCTGAATAATAGTACCAGCCTTATCTTATCTCAAGTTCCCATCACAGTCCAAATTGGTCAGCATATTTGGGGAAAAGAGAAAAGGTGGATACCAGAATTTTTGTGTAACCCAGGACAAACCATGACATGTGCTAATGGTGGCTTCAACTTTGTTAGCAAGCTATTACCAAAGAAAATGCATATTTGTTCAAACTATCTGAAATAAATTTAATTTTGACTTAGATAAGGTTTTTATTGGAAATACTCATATGGGTTAGTTTTGTTTTTTTTTAATACTGAAAAGCTCAAGTGAGGACATTTATATATCATTATTTAACCCAGACAGAAAACGCTTTCAGGTGCTTTCTGACAATTTTTCTAATAGAAAGAAAAGAATCCTTTTGTGTGTGTGAGTGTCAAGGAACACTGTCTCAATCAGAAGTAAACTACCATTTAAAGAAATGTATATTCCAAAAGATTCCAGTTATTTCCCAGCGCTATTATGTTTTTTTAAATGAGGACCGAACTTAATTTGGAAATCAGCTGCTTTGATTGGATATAATTGTTAGCTGTAATAATAATAATAATGGCCCATCTTCACGAACGAAGATTTGGGGAAAGGTCTTTTTACCTTTCCAGCCTGCGCAATGGATTTTTTAGGTGAGACACAGCCTGCGCTGAACTGAGCCCACCCTTTAATCCTAAGGTTCATCTGCCGGGGCCAAGCAAGCTTGGACAATGGCAGTGAGGTCCTCAGGACGTAGGTTTGTTTAGAGTGTCCTTCTCATAGATGGATGGCCACACAGGGCTAACGACCTCCATCAGGCCAGGAGACCGGGGAATCGAACCCGTGGTCGCAGCAGTGAAAGTCCTGCACGCTAACCACTAGGCCACCAGGGGTCTCTAGCTGTAATGAAAGCTCTCTAAAAATGGCACTATGTAACACATGCATGAAAGAGATGGAAAGTGAAACCTCCAGGATTGTGCTAGTGCTGGTTAAGTGGGTGAGCAAGTTTGAGGTGGCTTCCTGCCAAAATCTCCAATGCTCAGCAAAAGCCCTTCCCCTCCCTCCCCTTTTCAGCAAAAAAAGGAAAGGGAAAAAATTATAGAAACTGAAAGAAACCGAAACCAACTGAATTATACCAAAATATATGTGTATTTTTACATATATACAGTTATATACAGTTATATACAGTAAGGATATTATGTACAACTCCCAAGAAAGGGGAGAGGGGAAGGGAAAATGGGAAAAAAGGGGCAAAAAAGGGACAAAAATAAAACAAGTATGCACAATCGAGAAATACGGTAACTAACAAAATAAAGAACTATTAAAATCTCACCACTTCCCTTGAGAAAAGCAGGACGGCTGGACGCGGCCCAGCACTCCCCCCTCACGTGTGGTAGACAGCAGTCACTGTAGGCCTCAGCTCCAGATAAGCAAGACTGAGACAGGGACCTACCGTTCCCAAACCTCGCTGGAAGAGAGTGAGGTCTCTCCAGTCGGCTTTATTTATACCTCAGTTTACGTAAAGGAATAGCATGGAATACTTCGTCACTTCCCTAGTTCCTTCCTGGTTACAAACTGGTCTCCAGGAAGGCCTAGGGTGAAAACTATCACAGTGGGCATGTTTTTAGAGACCATTCATATTATTAAATTGGCAAGTAGGTAGATATACCTAGTTGCTTGTGCTGGCTGGAAGGGTGCTCTCTGCAGGAAGTCTGCCCCTGATTTAAAAAAAAAAAAAGCCAAGCCAAACCCCCAAAATTTTACACCCTGATCATTGGAGATTCCTTGGGCTTTTCATGTGTCAGGGGTACAGAAAGGGATTGTGCTCTCCTTGTTCCCTGTCGTTTTGATACTGCTGTGTGTTGATGACACTCCATATGTTAAGTTGCTGCACTGAACCCTTTCCTGTGTGCCTTGGTAACTCCTGCCTATTGCTGAGCCTCTTCTGTGCCCTGTGTTTCAGCAAAAATAA